AACTTCTTTCTCGTTATGTATCGTAACATGATATAAATATTCAAGAAATGCTTGAAAACAAACGAAATTGTTCTTACATTTTTAGCAAAGTTGTGATTCAAGCAACTGACACCGGTGTTATGCTGTTATCGATTGCAAATGCAAAAATCCAGTATAAGCTTTTACATGCAGATCTAAATCTCCGATTAATGTTATCTGTGACTTTTATAGACCAACGCTCTGAAAGTGACGCAATATTTGGATATTTACAAGAGCGCCGATTTTCGTGGGAAGACTTCGCATTCGGTGTTTACGCTCCGGTAGATGAAGAGAGTCGTCCAGAATTTCAAGATCACAGGTATTGCACACCTTCGCATTAACAATGTTGCTGTGAAGGATTTCCACCTTGATTTCCACGTTGATTCAACATCTCATCTAGCATCATATTTCACACTCAACCCGATCTCTAATTGACAAACACTTACAGTACGTTCGATAGTTTCCGGCATTCAATTTGTCTAACCCTTCAACCTCAACTTTAATCATGGCCAGAAAATTAGCATCACATATTTGTACTTCCAGCAGACTAAACACTTACCTCCTAAATTACTTTTCTTCTACACAATATAAATACGAAAAGCACCATTAAATGCAGCAGGAAGAACCGAAAAACACCTTCACAACTTTGTTGCAACTGAATAGTACCGCAAAACGGTCTGACACTTTGTTTAAAGTATTATGGAGCAAAACGAAACCGGAAACATTCGAACAACTAGTTAAACTAATGTATAAAAATGTAATCTTTTTTCTGTTCTGCTACACTTAGTCAGTGTCCAATAGGTCCAATAACAAACAACAAACTCTTTTCAATTTTAGGCTGTTTTAGTCAGTGAACATTTTAACCTGAAATTTTTTAATTACAGAAAGGGCGGAGCCGCATAATCTAGTAAATTGACCCATTCTATTTTTTGATCTGAAATGAATGGTTCGAGAAGTAACAGAAGAGTATTCTTTATCAAGTTATGCTGACTTTTTAGTAATCTAGTCCCTTTCCCCATATAGTCCGACACTCAGCAGTCATCCAGAAAAACTAGTTAAACTAATGTCACACTATCGTCAGTCATGTGTTTCGGTTAATACTAGACAGGTGAAACATTGATAAGAATGAAATTATTATGATCGTTTCTATAATTCTGTTCAGACAAACTATGACCGCTTTTATAAAAACGTTTTTGTTCAGAATAAATGCTTACATAAAATCAGATTATACTGTTTATTATAATCCGATATTTATATTAAAATCTTTCTACATTACATCATGAGTGGGTGGACACGGAGAAAGAAGGACAAAAATGTTTTAAAACTGAAAATAACCTCAGAATTGCATGACTCAGTTTCCTGTTTTCATTACTTAATTTTTAAATTACGGAACAAGTATATACCTGACAAACAGGAAAAGATTAATTTTTTCCTACATACACATTGCCTTAATACAGAACATATTACCTTTCGGCGAACAAAACACAAATAATACGAAGGTTGACATTTTCGTCGAAAAGAATGAAACGAAACAAAAATAAAATACATTCGACAACGATGCGGAGGTGGAAGAAATCAGTATGCGGAAGGAGGTTGAAAAAACCAACATACGATCGTACTTTTACAGATATCCTTGAGCTATATTTTTCAGGAGTGATATACTCAAGATAGAAAACACTGTGAACTACGTACTACCTCAGACGGTGAAAAGAATGAAAATCTTCGCAACAGGAGAGCCATACAGAATAAAAAGAAAACGTACTGACTTCACGTAACGTAAATGTACAGCAAGGATTCTTTTCATTGTCGAATGCATTTTATTTTTGTTTCGTTTCGTTCTTTTCGACGAAAATGTCAACCTTCGTATTATTTGTGTTTTGTTCGCCGAAAGGTAAAATGTTCTATATTAAGGCAATGTGTATGTAGGTCTTTCTTTCTCCGTGTCCACCCACTCGTGATGTAATGTAGAAAGATTTTAATATAAATATCGGATTATAATAAACAGTATAATCTGATTTTATGTCTACTACTTGTGATCGACAATTATAGCTATTCAATAAGTAAATACTTTTCAATGTCAAACATTAATTGTGCTGAGCCGTGGGAGGTGTTTGTAACTAGCGGTGGACCAGATAATTCCTCTTCGGGAGCAGCAAGCGATTCCAGATATAAATGAAATGATATTAGGCTTAATGTAGTACCTTCCACAATGATAAAACAAAAAATGCAATAATTCGCAATGTTTCACTCATCAAAGAACAAATATAGCGAAATACTTCAATTCAGAGTAAACAAACCATCACCGGTGCTCAAGCTAATATCGTACAATTTAAACTTATTTTGAATGTCGTTGATTATGACGTACAAATTTTGATGTTTTTGTTCGTCTTTTCTATGTGAATCAATGTTTTGATAAAAGTAAAATAGAAACTTTATTGTAACAGACTCTTTTACCGAACGAGTTACATTATAAAACAAATTTTGATACGATCGATTGCCGATGAACACGGGTAACGTTTTCCAAATATAAGGAGATTGCTTTTACTCTCAATTTTTCCTAAAGTTTCTTGTCCTTGAATTTTATTAGCGCCTGTAGCAGAAATGTGTCGCTACCTGCCGTTCGGCGGAATTCTGTACAAAAATTCCTTGTAATTTGTAGAAAATAGAGCTTTTCGTATTGCTGTTCTGCATGTACAGTGCTGTACACAATGATAAATTGCAGTTGGAAGTTTAACTTAGCGCTTAATTTCTTATATTAAGTTCAGACGCTTTCCTTGCATTACGAAAATACGATTACCACGTAAAGAATTGGATGACTTAATACATGATCTTTTTGCAGCACGTCAGTCGCATTGTTCTTTGTTGCCATTAGATACAATATCATCATCAAACTCAAATGCAATATTTTTGAATCACCATGTACGTAATTAGAGTTTTATGTAGAATTTGAGTGAGAGGTAGTTTCAGATATATCAGCATGCAGTTGTCACTTGATACAGACTGACAGAGCGTGTTCTCACTGCGTAAGGTACTAACCTACAGCGGACCTTTTTCGGGTTTGACTAATCAGTGAAATTACAATTCGTTTTTAAAGAGCACATTTGTCCATATCGTACTTAGGTATCTATCGTACACCAGAACGAGAATAATTATTCAAATAGACCCAATATAGGTCAAAGTAGTATGTCAAGCAGTGTTTAGCAGTATTTTTGGAAAAAAACAAATATTAAAGCTACTGTTGGTCATATAGAAAAACGTTAAACTTTTTCTATACTTTTTACTTACAAACTTTTTACTACTACTATTTAACTATACAAAAACCTGAAAGAGCTACAGAATAATCTGTAATTAAAAAACAATCTCATTACGTTACACTTCGGTCATGTCTATAGGTCTTCTCCGGTTAAACACAACTTTCAGCACATAATCAGAGCTGTGTCTGAAACGAAAATGCACGACTATACTATGATTAGCATTTTACAGAGACGTGATAAGCATTTGTCGTTTTCACTATGTTACTGGCGAAACTTTGGAAGGACGACGGACTGAAGTTCTAATCCTACCGAAAGTGGATCGTTTTTTTCTCCTTCTCTGCTTCTCTTTTTGATTTGTCTTTCCACCCTGTTTTCTCTGTGTTTTTTCAAGTTGTGAGTTTTTACTTGCCGTGAGCGCTGTAATGATTCGATTGCCCCCACGTTAACTAAACTACGTTTACATCAAGTGGCTCCTTGAAAGAGGAGTTTGTCATCGCTGGGACGCTCCGGGCGTCATCTCCTGCATAGAAATAAAAATGTGTGTAAATGCCAGACTATTAATCAGTATATGAAAAATTCAATTGATAAATAGAATTCTACAGAATTCTACGCTAGTAGAAATATACGCTATATTAACCAAGTTTGAGAGAAGACGGAAATGTATAAAATTCTACAGAATTCTTCACCCTTACCCTCAGCTCAAATTTTTGTTACAAGTGGTGAATTTTCGGAAAACATGCACGGCTAACGTAAGCCGTGATTAAATAACCTGTGATTTTGCGATCTCCTCTACGGAAAAACAAATTTTTTCTTCGATTATACCGATTTAAAATATGCAAAAGTATTCGGAATCTCGGGACTTTTAGCTATCGGTTCATAAAAACGGTTTTCCCTTGATTGAAAGGAAAGGGGATCCAGAACAAGGCTGACGTTCTTTTTCTTCTGGCACGTGTACACTTGGATGTCGGATTCGTGTAATAAAGGTTAGGACTATACTGTCCAATATGGTAAAACCGTACGTTTAATGAGATTGTTAACAAGGAATTCACGGATATTAATGCCGCTGACGGAAAAACCGTACGGTACACTTAATGCGACTGAGCGTGAACGATCTGCGGATAATACGGTCTGTCGCAAACGAAAGGTAGGCCTAATGTGACTATACTTTATAAGTTTCTGTGGCAATTTTTTCGCTGCAGTCAGTCTTTCTCGCCCATTTTACCTCCGAAATATTTCTTCATAAACCGTTTTTCTCGCTCGATTTTCGTTTAGTCTGTTAATCTCATTGCATTCACTTTAAAGTCGGCCTTCTCCTCAGAAATCCGTTCTCGTCAGATTGAGGGATGTCAGTGTTTCTACATTTCGGACAATCTATAGAATTCTACACTTTTCCCGAGAATTGTATGAAAATTTCTTCCTGGCTATCAAATCACAAGACGGATCTTTTATAATAATGTTAATATAAGAAATGTATAGAATTCTAAAGAAATTCTTCACCCCTCCCCCTCAGCATCTATTTCTTAGAGTTCCTTTATTAGGAGAGATCAGACCTGTAATATTATAGCTGTGAAGAAATTTTCGTAGAATTTATAGGGAAATTGTAGAATTCTGTAGACTATCTGAAATGTAGGAAATCTCCTATTGCTGGTCAGATTCCACTCATAGACAGTGTAAATTTTTTATTGCATTTCTAGAGAGTGCGTTTCATACTGATTCTTTCGGTACCACTCAGCATATCTAGAGAATACTTTTAAATCTATGGAGCACTTGTTGCACCTTTCTTGTTGTTTAGAGATTTTAGCGTCAGAAAAACTAAATTTTCTTTCCACGCTCAATGGTTTCCGAACGACTATTGTTCCGTAAAATAAGCGCGCCATCGTTAGCCATGATCCAAATTGGATGAGACTTTCACAGAATATTCGTCTAGATACTGCATCTACACAAATAGCACAAATTAGCGTAAATTATCCTGGACTGAGTTACAGGTTTTCCAAAAAGTCCTTGGTTTTTTAACTGAAATCTATTTCCCTAACTCCAGAAGCATTTTTAGTAAAAAATGATAACGCATTTGGAATCAGCGCATAAAACTGCATCGAATGATATATAACCGATGTATAATGAACGTAATTTGTTCATTTTTTGAGTAAAAAAGTTTTTGACTTTTGAGTTTTGCTTTTCAGTAACATCAAAATGGATGGATACATGAGCTGTTGATTAAGTCATTTGTCGATGCTCTCGTACAGAAGACCGAGGTAATCGAACTAGAGAGCGTAGAACTATGCATTTGTCACCGTTCGGAACTTTTCAAAAGAGATACAATATATATTCCAATGATACATCAACAAGAAACTCAGCGGCTGTTTTTGTTGAATCATCAGGAACAGCTTTGCTAATTACATATTTTGAGAGATAATCAGTTAAGGAGATTACATAGCGGTTTCCATTTGTTGATCTGGGGAGTGGACCTGTAAAATCCATTTGTACTAAATCAAAAACTTCACCTAGAGGCTCAATTAGTTGCATTTGTCTCGGAGCTTTATGTCTTCGGATATTGTGTTGTGCGTAAGCCGAGCATGATTGAATATAATGAATCACATCTTAACGCATAGTCGGCCAGAAACATCGATCTTTAAGCCGATACCACGCCTTGTCTGGACCAAAATGTCCGGCTGTCGGATGGTCATGAATCATTCCCGGCTAGTGCACCAGTTGTTACAGTCTTATCAACGATGTAGATGACTTTACTATCTCTGTTTATTCAAGAAGAAAACGAAAGTATTTATACAAGAAAAAAGTGGCTAATTTCCACATGTACAATAAAATATAAAAGGAATAAAAGATGATGCTATATTCTTTTTCCCCTGGGAAACACAGTTCAAGTAACATAGATCAAACAATATGAAAAGAGAGAGAAAAATGACAAGTAAAGGAAAAGAACATGATTGACAGAAAGGAAAGAAGGAAAATCCCATAACACAATGTCATCAGGCTATCCAGAGCTTTCATTTGGGTTTCTAAACAAAATCAGGTGAATCTTCTGGTAATTTTTAGTATAAAAAACAGTTAAAAAAGAAACATTTCGTTTTCTTTCCTTATAACTTCTTCTCAATGGCGGCAGCTAGTACAGCATATCCAGTATCATATCATCATCATCATCATCGGTCGGCTGCGAACAATCGAGGTTTGCAGGCGACAACAATCTTGGACCAATTCTCTCTATTCGCGGCAGCCTTTCTAATCTCGTCGACCGATGGTGGTGTATCGTTGTTGATTAGCCTCGCAATGTAATCGGGATACATTAGACGGCAGCTGCCCCGCTTGCGCTTGCCATAGTATCATATTCGTTCCTTGATAAGCCAAAATAGGTTAAACAGACAAGTGATGCTTATTATAAGACATATGGAAAATTTATTGAAATAGTCAAAAAGAATTTGTTGCAAAAGGAACAACCAACCATTGACATTATTGATACATCAACTCAAGAACGACGAATAGTGAAACGAAAACAAGAGGAGACCGAGGGAAATTATGGTAGAGAAAACAATCATAATAAGTCAGCTGCAGGTGGCGATTGTCCGCCGTATCTTTAGAAATACAAATTCATATTTTTTAATGTATCTCTTTTCATCAATTGAAAAGTATCTCTTTTGAGAACATAACAAGTAGGTTCTTTGCTGACATTATTTCCCGTGTAAGAATATTCTGTTGATCAACTGGAAAGTATATAGGATTACGCAGTGGAACGTCCTCGTTCTTATTGTCTCAAATAGTAATTAGGAAGCTAAATGGAAAGAACGATAATTCGCGGAACGAGATACCAGTATCAAGTGTACTTGTACAATGGTGTATTTTGTTCCATTTCTATCCTGTAGATAATTTAGAGATCGCGACTTCCCTAATTGCTTTCCACTTTGTGAAAACACGTCTGTTGCGTATTGACGACGACAGGAGTCTTGTACTCCGTTTTTATGACAAGTTCTATATCTTGATGATTCACTGCATTTGAATCTACTAATGAAAAATCGACATTAATATCTTAATAACTTATATTCGCAACTTACGTATTCTTGTGTTTGCTTCCATAAGGAGATTACCATCACTGTAAAAAGTAAAGTGTGTTACTAGGTGTGTAAATCTTCTAAACGGTCACTCAACATCGAAAAGTGTGTGCTTTTCCTAGACGGTCGATCTCAGTGTATAAGAAGCTGAGTATGCTCAAAACATTTCTTATTTGCTATTTTCACTGTCGGATATATACTGCAGGTTTTTACATCACGTTACTTTGTTGAAAATTTTCCTCCAGTTGGTAAATTTAACTAAGCAGGATTCTTTAACACAATCACTTTTCAAGTTTCTTTCCTGCAGGATCCCGGAGGATTCTTTTCTAGGCACACCTCGCAGGAGCTTTTACATGCGTTCACCGGATATATCTTGCAGATTCTCCACTTTGTATACCCTGCAGAACTTTTTCCTCCCTGTTATCACTTGTAATACACAAGATATCTCACTACGCAAATCTCGCAAGGTCTGTAGGATTTTCTCATGTTGATAAAAAGTAGTAGCTTATGGATTTTGTACTCCATGTCAATCCTGCAATCTTTTCTCACCAATGTCTATCTAAGGTGACCGTGGAGGACCTTGTCTGTATTTTTTACTTTTTAGAAATTTAAGTACTTTTTTCTTACAAAGTTATAAAAACGTTTCTTGTGTCCAATAAACTTCTAGAAAATGTATATCTTAATATTTTTAACTATAACTTGTCAATGTTTTTACCGAAGTTTTTAAGTTA